GCATAATTCTTCAAGTTTTGCAACTGGTAACACAAACAAAAATTCCACATTCCACAAGTTTGGAGTTACCATTTAGGGCCATTATGTGGTTTTGGAAAAAAAAAAATACTAAAAGTAAAGATTTGTTGAGAGACTTGAAATATTTAAGTTGCCTTTTATTGACGGTAATAGAGAGAATAAACGCAGGAAATCAAACAAGAGATTTCCCAAGACAAGGTTAGAACTTTTGGTGGTTTGTGTATGAATGAAAGGGAGACATTGCTTATGTGATTGCCCCTAAAGCTAAATCCTTATTTCTATTTTTTTAATATAGCCAAAACAACAGAAAACTAAAAAACAATTCATATTAATTAGATATTGTAATAATGAGACTATGAGAGACATGTTTTTTTCCAAGACAAACAAGAAAATCCCATGTGAATATCCACCACCTTTTAATATAGTATTCTATTAAACTGTTTATTTCTGCCTTTTGCTCTAATCAGGATTAAAAAATCACCAAATTGCGTATATTATTTGTTACTAATAAAACTCAACCTTTATAGTTGGATGATTGGCTAGAGGAGGGACACATCGACCGTGTGTTACCTTGCATACATATCCGTGATTCGGTTGCATGGAAATTGTTAATTCGGTTAGTGTGCTATAAAACAAGTAAATAAATGTCACTTTGTGACTTTTGTGTGATCGATGTAGGATATATAGTATTCCAAAACATTTAACGGTGAATTACATACGTTAAAGCTTAAAAAGGAGAAGAGATTAGTTTAACTTAGGATTAATGCCAACATCCCTTAACTTATTATGGTTCTTGGTTTGAAAAAATTATGGATATTCACGGGGATTTTTTTTATGTCTAGGAGAAAAAGGAGAAGAAACCTACTCGTTTGTAAAAATATAAAAATAAAAACAATTTTGAAGTTTCGTTCGATAGAAAACTGTTGCCAAAATGGTTCAAACAAATGCTTTACAAAGTTCTTTTTGGATCGTCTACATTTACTAAGATAACTGTGAATCAATACGATTGAAATAAACAAACACATTCAACATTTTTTTTTTTTTTTTNGTTGGATCGAAACACATCCAACATTCAAATCGCTAATTCCCAAAATTCCTCAAAATAGAGGCTAGTGTTTTTTCACCTCCCTCTTTACCGGGTAAACTATTATTTTTCGGTTCTTTGTAAAAATCTCAAACTTTTAAAACAGGAAGTTTGAGGGGGTTAACTTATATGAATCATGTCATATCGAAGTCACAATCACAGATCAAGGAGACAAAGACCATACAAAAACAAATGATGTAAAATTCCATATAAAAACAAATGATGTAAGTTTTTGTTAGGTTAATTGTTAATTAGCAAAGACTTATGAGGCACATTGCTACCCTATACAAACAATAAAATCTGGTTCGAATTAAAGAAAGATCTAGTGACGGCGGAAACAAAACATATAGTAAAGACAGGGATAGATCGTATGATCTTATAATCTGTCAAGACAACAACCAACACAAAACCGTATCGTACTATCGTTAGTTTTTTGGTTGTCGTGCTAATTAATAATTGACGCATTGTTAACCCTAAGTTATTATGTATTCATTGCAATGGATATTTTTATTTTGTTGTGAACACTAAACAATTCAAAAAAAAAAATCTTTGGAATTCAACAAACTATATTTAACTTTTGGGATTTTTAAGCAGAAATTTTTAAAATGTCTATTTTATCGGTCAAAGAAATAAAATGAAATTTTAATTTTAATTATTCGATTAAAAAAAAACATAAATATTAACAATTTGTAGAATTTATTGATTTGCCAGAAGTTCCCTGAATTTTTTGTTATTTATATTTATACAGAAATTTTTATTTACGATTGTATGGCAAATTGGGCTGGGCATCTTATCTTCGACTACAACGGGCTTTATATCGACTAATTGTGGGCCTTAATCCAAAAATTACCATTAAAAATCGTATTTGTTAAAAAACCATTCAAAGTTATATGTGTTCCTCAAATCACGTTAACTTACCAAATAAAACCCAATTTGCCTTAATTTTGTAATCCGTGTTGGTTTAATATCAGCTGACGTGTCATTCAATTATTCGATAATCTCGCGGTAACCTCAATTCTAAAAAGGAAAACGAAATCGCGAGTATATATATATACATAATGGTGATCGCAGTCGAAGTTTGAGGTTTATTCACAAATCATTAGAAGAATCCATATCCAAAGTTTTTAACTAAATCAACTTCCTCTCTGGTAAGTTTCTCCGATTGGGTTTCGTTGAATACTATACTCTTGTTCAATTTCTACTGGAATTTTACATTAGATAAGTTGATTCCGACTTGGGTTTTAGAAACAAAAAAATTAGGGTTTTTGTGGTTAGATTTGGGGATAAATCGTGTGATTCTTGAATTTTGTTTATTTTCAGGAAACAAAGATGAACAAAAGCAGCTTTAAGCAGGACCATGATCTCGGTAACCAAAAAAAACCTTTTTTCCATTATTTTGATTGTGATTTTGGGATGAAATCAGTAAAGTCTGATTCTTTATGATGTATTTGCAGAAAAGAGAAAAGCTGAGTCTTCAAGGATCAGAGAGAAGTATCCTGATCGAGTCCCGGTAAATACCAAAAAAAAAAACCCTCTTTTTTGAGATTTTGATTCTGTTTTCAAGCTTTGTTCGTATGTTATAAATTGTAGATTTTGTTCTGTTTCTTTGTTTAGTATGTAAATTGAGAAGTTCTTGTGTGGAATCTGAGGTCTGATTGATTGAAATCATGCTATGATTGATGTTTCTGGTTTCTTCTCAAGGATTGTCTCTTAAAGAACATGTGTTAATTGTGGTTTAAGAACTTATGGTTTCAGAACTTGAGATGTTTTGTTGTATTTTTGCAACAGGTGATTGTGGAGAAGGCAGAGAAAAGTGAGATCCCAAACATCGACAAGAAGAAGTATGATCCGGTCCTCTTTAGTTTATATTATATCTTACATTCTTTGAATTCTGATAGCATTGGAAACACTATTCCTTATTCTTGGATTGGATTTACAGGTACCTTGTCCCCGCGGATCTAACTGTTGGCCAATTTGTGTACGTGATTCGCAAAAGAATCCAACTTAGTGCAGAGAAAGCTATCTTCATCTTTGTCGATGATGTTCTTCCTCCCACCGGTAACCATCCCTCTTAATCCATTACTTTAACATGTCTCTGCTTTCTCATGTTGCTTCTTTCTTTAACTTGAATTGGTGTAAATTTTAATTGCAGGAGCGGTAATGTCGACCATCTACGAGGACAAGAAAGAGGAGGATGGATTCTTATATATTACGTACAGCGGGGAAAACACCTTTGGATTGTCGATGGATCTATGATTCCGATTAGAGAATCGAATGGCAGGCTTCTTGATTCATATCGGCCGCGAATTATTTTGATGTTCTTGCTTTTAGTGGAATGTGAATATTCAGCTTTAT